GTGTTACACACACCTTATATATTTGATTGATTGTTAAAAAAGTGTTAAAATGACACAATGCAGTATGACATGAGGTGTTTAAAATGAACAAAGCTTAGTTAAGGTGTCTAAATGAAAATTGGTGTCAACTTTAGGGGGCCACCGGTGGATTAGAAGGCCTAAATCAATCGGTATCACATGCCCGAGGCCATATATAGGGGTGTCAAATGGGCGGGTTGGGTTGAAATTGGAGATATTAAAATGGGTTGAAATAGAAATTGGGTTGGGTCTTGACCCGTCCAAGTTTACTTTGGGCTCAAATGGGTTGGGTTCAAATGGGCTAAAAATGGGTTGGGTCTTGACTCGCCCAATTTGACCCGATTAATCTCAATAATTTTAACATAGTGATATTTAACTTTTCTAATCACAATTTAAATTTCAGCTCAAGATTGTTTTAAAAAAAAGTAACAAATGGATAGATAAATCCTAAAAGATGTTAAATAGATATTAATTCATACCTTTAATATAGAAACATATCTTAGTAAAGAGTTTAAAAATTGGTTGAAATTGGAGATTGAATTGAGCTCAATTGAGGATTCTCTTAAAATGGGTTAAGCTTGAATGAGTTGAGATTGAACCCAATTCAAATTATCTTGAGCCCAACCCTTAAAATTCTGGACAGATTGGATGGATTACCTATGTTTGAATTCATTTTTGACGCCCCAACCATATACAACCTTTCGACATAAGTATCCCCATCCTTTCTCCTTAAACAGGAGGATCCTCCATGACACAATCACCATATAATGCTTCCTTTTTAAAATAAATAGATTATTATTAATAATAGGGTTGAATTTTCTTTTTTGATGAATTAATTTTTTTTTTATGTAATATAATGACGTGCAAGAATTTAAATATTTGATATCAGGTACGTGAAACATAAATAAAAGTTATTTTTAGAACTTTGAATTCTAGGATAGTATCGTCAAATATTGAGAAAATGATCAATGGTCCTTAATGTATAAATGGGGGTTGACTTGTTTAGTTGTTTTGGTTCTTGATATATATTTTTTTGTGGTTTTTGGAGAGGAAAAATATAAGTGGAGTGTATATCTCTATAATGATCAAATTAATTAACGAATGCCTTCGGAATTATACATAGAGTGTCTAAGATATTGTTTGTATGTTTAAACTCATGAGCAAGTCAGCATCCTCAGCGCAATTGTTGTAAAATAACAATTAAAAAAGAGCAATTTTCACATATAGCAAATACAAAATTCATATTTATATGTTATAGTAAAATTTGCATAATTGCGCTCCATAACAAACATAAATATGTATAATTCGCTATACATATACAAAAGAAAGCAATTGGTATAATTTTCTTTTTAGAATAGATTAAAATAAAAAATGTATATGCAAAAATCTCACTCTTTTTTTTCCATTTAAGGCAAAATCTCCCACTATTTATATATTTGCGACTCTTTGCTCAGCGCTATGTAAATAGTACAACTTCTCCTCTTTTGGCAATTCAGCTTTAGCCGATCACTTCCGGTATGGCCCCAATCTCGCCTCAACTGTTGTTTTGATTTAGTAATTATTTACTTTTCTATAGTTGCATATGGAAATCCGAATTATTGATGACTCCCAGCATTGCGTTTCGTTTAATTTTTGTTTTTGATCTCCATTAGAGGGTTCACTTGTGTTTTCAAATGGCTGTAAAATGAAATTTTTGTTCTTCCCATTGAAATGTGTGCGTTTTGGATTTTTCTGAAGTAATTTTTGCCTATTGTTGTTGATTCTTCTGATATTTGAGTGCTAGATCCTTGCATAAATTATCTGCCGTTGAAGTATTTTCACCAGCAATTTTTCAGCTATTATTACTTAGAATACTGGGATTTTGGTTTAATAATTATTGTTTCAATGGTGATTCAAGTTGCTAATTATGCTAAATAACGGAGAGAAGAAAGATATTAGGCTAAAAAGTGTATTGGTTCAGGGATCATTTGGGATGAGTTAGGGTTTGGCTCTTAATGAGGCGTTTCTGTTTCCTATTCCTTTAAAAAACTTATCGTCATCTGTTTTCTGCAAATTGTAACTGATTAAGCTCTTGTTTTTACGTTGCATATATGCTACATTTTAGATAAGGTGATTATGCATATGCTACATGTACTGTCCTTCATTTACTGATCGATTACTTAAAAAGTTATGCTGGAAAGTGAGATTGAAGTTATATTATTCAGGATTAACCATATAGTTCATTAGATCAGGAATTGAAGTCTTCATCAACGAATATTAGATCATTTCTTCATTTTTCCCACTTGCAGCTATATATGATAAGATTTCCATTGATACATACCTGGGCGATCTTTCCTGTTTCATTTACTCAATAAGGTTAGTCGCGCTTGTTCATTTGACTTTAGCTTGGAGGAATTAGTATGGCATGTATCGTATAAAATAAGTACTTAATTGTAGTGTTTCAAGCAAGACGGCGACATATGATACTTGTGCCCCAGCTACTGCTGGACAATGTGAAATATGGGTACTACAGCATTCGTGTTTGTCCATCTGTAAAAACAGGATATAGTTTGTAAGCAATATTGTCCCAAATCTCTTCCATAGTAATCTTAAATCTAGAAATTTGTTTAATACATCATTGTGCCCTCTTCTATGCTGAAAATCATGGCCTGCTTAACTGGATGGTGACTTGAGTCTTGCTTAAACTTTCCCCCCTCTTACAGTCTTGCCATATGCTTTTTTTTTGAGAAAGTTAACTGAGTCTTGCCATATGCTTACTTCCTGCAAAATGTCAGAGGAAGCTCCTAGATATCTCAAAACATTGCCTGAAGTTGGGAAGCTCACTAATATCTCCAGAAATGGGAATCTTTCCGAGAAACAGGTTGAGAATATTGATGAAAATCATGAAGAAAAGGAAAGAGAAAATCCCATCTTACTAGTAGAACCTATCCCTAATGGAGATTGCAAGGTAAATTCTGGGGTGGAGCTGGGAACTTTAGAAGTAGAATACATTGAATCTGAGAATTTGAAGGATGTGGAAGACGTAGATATGTGCCTGAAGGTATTATAATCTGGAGATTTCATATCGTTTCTCTGTTGTTTTAGGTTACTTATATCAGTTGAATAAGTCTATTCTCAATGTCTTGTATATATCCTACCATTTTATAGACACTGTTGGGGGGACTGGAATCCAAGGACTGGGTTTTGGTGTGTGAGGCTCTCAATGATGTGCAGAGGTTGTCCAAGTTTCACAGAGAAGCAATGCTTGATATTTTGTGAGTTATTTTTTAAATTCGGATATATCCATTGGTTTCAACAGATCTATGTTATGCGTTCTCTGTTTCCTGGTTGTACTAATTTTGTCTACTTAACATAACAGGGGAAATGTGATCTCGCTTGTTGTGAAATCCTTGAAGAATCCTAGAAGTGCTGTATGTAAGACCGCTCTCATGACTTCAGCTGACATTTTCAAAGCATACTGCGACAGCGTTGTTGACTCAATAGATCCACTGGTAAGCTTAGATTTCAACTGACCTTGAACTGCATGCACATGCAATTTAGTTTTCTGAGATAATTTTTTTAATCCTTGTGCTTATAAAGTGACTCTCCATGTGCCTAGCTTGTTCAACTTCTGCTGAAATCTTCACAAGACAAGCGATTTGTTTGTGAGGCAGCTGAGAAAGCTTTGATATCCATGACGACATGGGTTTCTCCAGTTCTATTGTTACCTAAGCTGCAACCTTATCTTAAAAAACAAAAATCCTCGAATTCAAGCAAAGGCTTCAATGTGCATTTCTCGAAGTGTACCACATCTGGTTAGAGTTCTGAACTACCTATTTCTTTCTGATATACATTTTGACTGATGACTGATGAAGCTTCAGCTACAAGTGTGATAATTAATCATGTGGTTCATTTTGTAGCCTTTTTGTTCATTTATCTGCTAACTGTGATCTTATCTTACCAAGTTTTATAGACCACATCTATATCCTGGAATGAGCTAGAGAAGGAAATTTATTTTATAAGTATTTAATACTGTATTATTGAATATAATATTGTCAGTGATCTTAATCTACTAAACCTATTTAAACATATCCAAGGAGTTTAATGCCAGCGTGACCATCATATTTTGATGATTATCTCTGCATTGTTTAAAATGAAGTTCTACCAAAATCTTAATAAACTATCAGAAGTCACAGTAAAACTGTTAATGGAACTGTAAAGTACTATTTACTTTGTCATGCATGATCATAGTACTCGCAAAACAAATAAAAGAGGAATAAAATGTTTATCCTGGTTCAAGTTTTGAATAGACAAGGTGTTATGACCATTTACATTCATATGAGATTGTCTCTAATGGACTTGCACGATTTGCAGGGAGCTGATGGAATCTAAACCTATGGGATTGAGAAGCTGATCCAACTCGACGCATCTCAGCTCAGTGACAAACTCCCTGAATCAAAGGAGGCTGCTCGTGCTCTATTGTTAGACCTGCAAAATGTCTACGAGGAAACACTTGATATGACGCCAACAGACGTGAGTGAAAAACCCCAAACAAATTCCTGGGAGCATTTCTGTCAATCGAAGCTCTCACCTTTAAGTGCTCAAGCTGTTCTTCGTGTGACAAATGTCGCCCGGTAGTATCTTGTTTTGGTTCGTGTAGTTTATGCAAAGTATCGAGTTCTAGTGAGCACATTTTCCCTTTATTCTTTATATACCTGTAAATACCATCGAAGGTGTGAGGTGCTTGAAGGCAGTTAGATCATGTACTGTAGCTATTAAAGCCTACAGTGTCATGATTATACGGTTTAGATTACATTGCATTGTGATAATTCACTGGGGGGTGGATACTACCAAATATAGTTGTAATTTCGCTAACTGCTGTTTGTTTGCCATATCAATGACGACAATTCATCGTATCAAATTCGACGAGATTTGTGTCGTTGTGCCCAAGGGTGTTAGCTACCAGTGTGTTCCTCTGGAGTTGCATCTGCTGCTCATTTCCATTGGCTGGTTAGTGATCAGATACACTTTCATTTTCTCTTTTGATTAAAAAAAATCTTCTGCTTGTTGCAAGACCTTTCGTTGTCCACTGTGGGTTGGTCAACTTCTTTAGGTGCAAAACTACAAATAGATAAGTTCAGAGAACAATCTCTTTTCGAAAAAAGCTAATTGGCCTAACCCATTGCATTCAAAGACGTTGAATGTAGGCTTCCTTGGTCTTTCACTGTCCAAAATAAATGACCTAATTTGGAGAAATGATAGCAATATGATAAATAGATAAGTTTCTGCTGTCTGCGCCTTTATGAATACTTTAATGTTGTACAGCAACTACGATGTTTGTATGTTCTCCACCAACTCCACAAGTGCTATTAACTTGAACCCCACGAAACATGTGCCTCTAGTGGCTTTCTGTTTATGCCCATCTGAAGTATGCCTTTTCTCCATAAAACCAGAACCATACATTCTACTACTTGCAATCTATCTTTAATTATGTCCAAACTCCATTTCTCTTGAACCCGAGGAGCCAATGTACGAATAACCTGCTTCTTGTTTGTCATGATCTTGACATAATTGTTGTTTCACAGATGGAGCAAAAGTTGAGATGAAAAACTATGTGTTAGGCATAGCCAGGTAGATTGTAATCATGATAATCGCGATATCAATGATATTGCTCTTTGTTGGGATCGGAATTCTGATCCTGATTCACATCTGTATCGTTGGGAGAGCATACAGACGAGGAATTGGAACTACTAACATAGTAGAAAGAGGCATCTTAGCTAGCAACAGCATGTCCCATGAGGACATAGAAAAGCTTCCTTCTTATGCCTTTCAGTCCAAAGATAAAGGAACTAGTCCAATTGAATGTGCAGTTTGTTTGGATAATCTCAAAGTAGGTGAAAAGTGCAGATTGTTGCCTCTTTGCAATCACAGTTTTCATGCTGAATGCATAGACTTATGGCTCTTGAAAACATCCATTTGTCCAATGTGCAGAGCTACTGCTGATTTTCTCAAGGGTGGATCGATATCTGGTGGAGAAAGTAGCCGATACAGTGAAAGTGGAAGGCAGGAATTAAACGCGGAAACTGCTGAATTAGCAATGATATTGGTACCAGAGAGTGACATTCATGTCAACAGCTTAAGCTTTGAGACGAGAACAAGTCAGAGTACAGCCCAAGACAGTGAGCAATTGAGTGGAATTGGTCCAATAGATATCCAAATTACTAGTGAAGTTAATGTGAACATTAGTGAGAATTCTAATGAGTTGAGATCAATTACCCAAACTATAGAAAGTATAAATTTGGTTCATGAAGAAATACAACAATCAAGAAACACCCAAACAGCTCAATTAAGCTAATTAAATAGCTTGATCAGAGTTGACAGTCATTATATAGGTATGTTGCTTAATTCACCAAGAAAATATTTCTTTGAATGTAAAACTAATATATATATTTTGATTATATATAAAGGTTTGTTGTTAATTGTTTGCAATCGAGGCACCATATACATGTACTTTTGTAGAGGAAATTTTCTTTTTTTCAAATAGACAATTCTTCAAGTATTTTTTTTTGGTGAGGTTCTCCACTTTCCGACTTTGATGATTTAAATCCACAACCTAGCTAGCTAATTATAATTTTAGTATTCACGTGAATAAATAATTAACTTTGTTCAAGATGTTATAAATACACTTCACTAATTATTCATATATATTTGACTGTACATTAAATTATTACTGTTCCAGTAGAAATTCATTAACTTTAAATTCTACAAATTTATAACCTACGAAAGAAAGAGAGACGAATTAATTACTTGAAGAGGTTAGAATAAAAAATGTTTTAACAATCCAGTTTTTACTAATATATGTAAGTAGGGCCAATTTAGAATTAGTATTTTATCAAAGATATTAATATCGAATAGCCACAACTTTTTGTTTGTCAATAAGCTACAATTACTTTCCTACTCAAAAAAGTTATTGTCATTGATTGGTTTTAAAGAAAAACAGAATTATATAAAAAAAAAAATAAGGGAAAAAGAGTTAAAAATGCCCTCACATATTGAAAATAGGTCAAAAATATCCTCCTTCCACCTATTGAATCAAAATGATTAAACCCAAACCACAACAACAATGTTCCCAATAGATTTCAGTCTCTGACACTCAAACCAAGCAACCGTGGTGAAATCCATTCAACAAATTAAGTAGATTCGAACAAAAAAAAACCCAAAAAATCAGCTGGGTTATATTAAAAAAGGTAGGTCAGTTCCATTGAATTGGGTCAAAAATTCATGTGGACCAATATTTTACACCATGTGTTTAATTTAAAAATTCATTTATGTCATGTTATAATCTGTCAAAGAAGGGCATTTTTAACCTTAAAAATAATCTTAAGGGCATTTTTTATCCAATAGGTGGAAGAAGGGCAATTTTGACCTATTTTCAATACGTTAAGGGCATTTTTAACCTTAAAAATAATCTTAAGGGCATTTTTTATCCAATAGGTGGAAGAAGGGCAATTTTGACCTATTTTCAATACGTTAAGGGCATTTTTAACCTTAAAAATAATCTTAAGGGCATTTTTTATCCAATAGGTGGAAGAAGGGCAATTTTGACCTATTTTCAATACGTTAAGGGCATTTTTAACCCTTTTCCCAAAAAATAATAATCGTGTATCCCTTTTTAAGGCAGTACAATATATTGTATCTTTTCTTAAAAACCTTAGCAAAGTATTATATTGAAGAATACATTATAAATCTAATACCTCTACGTATATATCCTATACTTGATTTTATGAAGAGACTACGAATTCACATATCTCATATTTAAGCCTGTAAATCGTCAATTTAGCGTAAACGTTGTTCTGAACCGGCTGTGAAGCGCGAAGAGGCTATATTTGCATTTGGCTATTTGAGAAAATCAGCCTACAAAAGTTAATTTGAAGGCCCAGATGTACTCCCAATGGCTGCATTTAAATCTCTTTGTTAGGAAACTTATAAAAATTTCACAGAGCTAATTGCTTAAATTTATTTTAATTTGCAATATTACAAATCTTACTAAATTTTGGTGAGTCCAGATATATGTATCTCGGAATACATGAGGTCAAAATTAGGTGTAATTTGTTCTAGATACATTGTATCCAAGTGGATTCACGTGTATCTAGGATACATAGATAAATTTCTCTCGCTTCCCTCTCATCTTGCTCGTCATTCTCCTATGTATCTGGGATTACGTGCGAATTACACTAGATACATACAAATACATGTATCTATTGTGATTAATATGTATCTTGGATACATGACTCTCTTTACCCATCTTGCTCGCCTTTCTCCCTATTTTAGTGTATCTGGCAGCAAAAATATATGTATCTAGCTAGGTATATTTTCCTCAATATATAATAGAAAATTCTTAATTAGTAGTAAGATACATAATTATTTGAAAATATAAATAGAATTAATATATATGATATAGATATATTTCTAATAAAGTAGCTTTTCCATCTTTGTTTAGTTCTGATTTTCAAAAAAAAGATAGAACAGATCTTCTCAAAAGAACAATTATTCACAATTAGCTTCTTTCTTCTTTTTTTTTTTAAAAAAAAATGTTCATTTTGTAAAAAGCTACTTTAAATTTTGTGTATTAAATATTTCTACACAAATTATTCCCAAAACCTAAATAAATGCCACCTAAATCTTATGAACACATGTGGTTTGGTGTGACTGATCAGGGATAAAAATATCATAATAAAATACAAGATTATTTTATCTTGTGTTTGGTTAGAAGTATTAATTAGTCTTGTGATTATTTTATCCCAATAAATATACTATAATAATGAAATAAGTTATTCAATAAATATGTCAGAAAAATATATGCACACTGAGAGCATTTCAAAAATAAATTGCTTACTTGAATGGTAGATTACACATGTGTTTATGCTAGAACAAACACATTCATGCTAAAACACCTAAATCTAAAATTTAATTTTAAAAATATCTTTTAAAGCGAAAACAGATATCTTTAAGCAAGTCCGCAAATTTAACTTGAGTTTTACAGTAATCCTAAATTAATCATCGTACTCTTTCAATATATGAATAAGTATTGTGGAAAAACTCATACCTTTTCTAGGTAAGAAAGAGCTTATATATAGGACACATTTTTGTCCAAAACCTAGATAAAAACGAATCTCTTATTTTCTACCAAGAATAGCTAAGTAAGATTTTTATCCTAATTAAATATGTGAACAGCAGGAAGCACAGGATTTATTATTGAGCCTACTAATATGAATATCATTGGAAAATCTGATTTGAATATTCTTACTATGATATTAAAACTGAGAAAATGGTCATATACCCCTCAACGTATATTTAGGGCTGGCAATTGGGCGGGGAGGGGCGGTTGTGGGACAAACCCGCATAGATCCGCAAACATACTAATCTGCCCCGCTCCGCCCTACATAGCAAAAAATTGTGTTTTCAATCCGTCCCGCTCCATCCCGCATAGTTTCTTTTCTTTCTTAATTTAGTTTCACACAATAAATAAAATTCATAAAACTTTTGTTTATTTTTCTGCTAAATAAATAAACGTGTACCTGTTATACTATTTCCTACTAGCATATACATATATAGAGAGATCATTGTCTCTGTTACGACCCGATCTCGAAAACTAAGGTTTCGAAACCAATTTCGCAACTTTGGCAACTTTGTACATGTTTTGGAAAAATGAGTTATTTGGAAGTCGCCACTTAATTTTTAGGAAAAATTAAGAAAACCATTTAAAAAGGGAATATTTGAGAGGAAACAATTTAAATAACTAGAGTCGGGTAAGGGTTCAAATAATTCTCTGAGGAAGGGTTTAAGCATCTTAAAGAATCCACTAACACGTGGTTGACCGACAGATTTAAAAGTTGGCTAATTGTAAAAGAAAACTTAAGATTACTTGTGAAAAAATCTTTATGAAAATAAATAAAGATTTAACTAACATGATAAGTAATGGAACATTTATAATGTTAAAGCGTCGAAAACATTTTTAACTTGATAATTTATCCAAGTTATAGATTTTGAACTAAATGGTTAGCTCAATCTCATTAACGTGGATTCAAAGCAAATTACTAACTATGAAAGAATACGGATAATTCTCAAGATAGTCTAAGAGCTTTAAATTTGCCTTAAATAAAAGGGGTTTTGAAAATTTAAATACTTAAAAAAAATGAGTGACAAAATAGAAGTTTAAAATGAGTAACAAAATAGAAATCTTCCCCAAGGATTCATCTAAGTTAACAAAAAGGAGAAAATGTTAGCATTTCCAAAATATAATAAGAACACGAAACAATATGACAAAATAAATAACGAGAAATTAGGCCCTCGGCCTATCATGCTCCTTGCTGCTGCCGTGGAAATTGGACTTGTTAAAGTCCAAGAATTCTCAATTTAGTCCCTTTGGGGACTGCTGCTACTACTTCGATTAAATTGGATTCTTTTAAGTCCAAATTTTGCCAATTTTCAGCTTTTGGGAGTGTTATAACTCTGCTATTTGAGCTGCTGCCAGTGGTTTGGGTTTTAACCCATTAATATTAGCTTCTCTTTCACGTCTCGGATGAGGTTGACTCAAAAGAGAGGAGTATGCAAGAAGGGGGGAGTCCATTGGACTCGAATGTCACATGCGAAGAAAGGAAAGGAAGTAACGTTAGAACTAACATAAAATAATAATAATAATAATAATAATACAATAAAACAAAAAATTAAGCTAAGCTGCTAACTTAGCATTACAGGAAAAAAAAATTAGAATCTATCAACATCTAACTACCATCTTAAGAGTAGACCTTCTACTAATAACCAAAATAAGGAACATGCATGATCAACAACTAAAAAAAAATAATTAAGCACTTAGTGCGAGAGATTTTTTAAAAAAATAAGCTAAAACAAACAGAGGAGTCATAATTCAATTATATTTAGCTTAGCCACTGATGTACAGAAAGGCATTGGACAAACAATAACAAAACACTACTTTGGAACAATATCTTTGGAGCCAAAAATCCACTCCTAATGTAAACCAAACTCAAAAGATCCAACTAAAACTTATACAATCAGAGGTTCTATGAGAAATCTAGAACTAAACATGTGCAAAGGGACCCAAGAAATTCAAATAAGAGAGGAAAAACAGAGAAATTGATTAAATTTAAAATAGCTAACAAAGCTAAACAAAGCAGTGGAAACAATAAGCAATTGATCAATAAAAAATGGAAAACAACGCATGCTAAACTTGTTGTGAACGAGGCTCTATGTCTCAAGTTAAACTTCATAACGAATATTTAAAATTCAACCCCTAATAGAATCAAACTACTCAAGTAAGCAGACCAACACTTAATACATACCTAAGTTGAACCTTTAAAACCAGCCTCGGGACAAACAGAGAGCAGAAAATAAGATGATACTATCATGTAGCATTTAAATGTAAATCCAAGAAAATCTGTACTCAAATTCAAGCAGGGGTCTGAGGATGGTAAATCAATATACTTTAGGA